TATATATACTGTATATTGTAATCTTAAGAATTGTCCGAATTCTTTTAACATGTTAATGGATATGACACTGTTAATATGTTTGGTCTTGGTGAACTAGATCTGCTAGATTTTTGATTGCCTTAATCCGGCTAAAGTCATAATCGAAGTAAACACTAATCGAATTAAGACATGTGGAGTATTCCTATTTTAGTCGCATTACTGAAGTGCAGAATAGACATGTACACACGTTAATCACATTATTACCGTAGTGTAGAACTTTTCTCCGCATTTTGCGACAGGATATACACACGGCAGTGCTCAACCGTTTGACGGCAAACAAAAGAATGGCTTCAACAACGCCGTCGTCTGTTTGCACGTATAGCATGACAAATAATTAACTGCACTTGAAGCTTTCAGTAAATTAAAAATGAAACACTCAAAAATGTATATCGCATCATAATGAAGACGAACTATATGTTTATATGTGAAATTCTGGAGGGGACGTCGGATGGCGTCACGTGGGGACGTAATGACGTGTGCCATTAATCGATCTATGTACTATAACATGTAAAACGGGAACATGAAAGGAATATTCTAAAAGCAGCTCATGTAAACACCTTAATCGTAATATTGTCTTATTCAGAATAAGGTAAATAATTAGATTACTGATGTCCATGTAAACGTAGTCAGTGAGTCTGTCTGAGATTACTTGAAGCAATGGAGAAATAAATAAATAAACTGAGACCATTTCCACCATACTGAAAATGTCAAGATCCTCCTGTAAATATATCAACACATACACAGGAACAGGCAGCAAGATTCCCTTCCAAGAATTCCAACCTAGTGGACACTATAGAAATTAATAAATCCTTATTATCGCACAATACAAATCACTTCACTTATAAAACTGCATTTTTTTTCTCTACATTTTTAAGTGCTCTACAAAATGAATATGTTATGGCAAATATATTGAAGATTAACTCTTTCCACAGAAACGCAGTGGGGAATGGATTCTAATTCTAGGAAGAGAAGGACTATACATTTTTCATTTGTATATCTGCTGCTTTAAAACTTTAAAAAATAATTTACTGGCATACAGATAACCTGGTGGCTATAACACATGTACATTCAGATTTGAATGCGATCAGCTTTGGTTTTTTGTTGCAGCTCGAACATGTCCTCCTAATCAGTACTCGTGTGCCAGTGGCCGCTGTATTCCCATCTCCTGGACATGTGACCTGGATGATGACTGCGGGGACCGCTCCGATGAGCCTGCGTCCTGCGGTAAATGATGCCCCTTTATGTTGGTGCCGACTTATTGAAATGAATGATTTCGGCCATTAATATGCTTGTGATACTTTTAGAAAAACTAGTTCAGTGCCAGTTTTGTCAGTTCCAGCGTTGAAAGAATTGTTTGACATTTTATGAATTTAGTCCTTTTATTCATTTGCATTTTGTAAATGTTATACAATTTATCTATTTAATGGCTCATTTTACAAGAAAGCTAATTTTTGGTCAATTACACTCAAAACGTCTTATTATGACTTATTTTATTTACTAGAACTATTATATTACTACTACTATTTCTTTGTGTAAAACTCATACTGATGAGGAAAATGAGGAAATGTAAATAATCAAAAAAGATGATATGACCCTTTTAAAAACAGTGAACCATGTAAAGCATATGCATAAAGTCAAAAAGTCATACTCATATTTACGTGCAAACGGCAAAAACTTGCACTCAAAATACTTTTATGTTGCATTTAATTATTTAATTATTATGCTTATTTTTTATTATGCTTTTGGTTATATGGGATCGGGAGTTTTGGTTAATTATTTGATTTTATTGATTATTTATGATGATGTTTGTGTCGTCAGCATACCCAACCTGTTTCCCGCTCACTCAGTTCACCTGCAATAACGGACGCTGTATCAACATCAACTGGCGCTGTGATAACGGTGAGCTGCTGACATGTTTTCATCTCTTGTGTTTTTTGTGTCTGTTGCACCTTTTCAACAGATTTCCCTCATTTGTCTTTGTTGATCATTTCATGTGTCTTTTGTGTAACGTCATGTCCTCTTCTCTTGACCATTTGCCCCTCCCCCTCTGTCACATGGGCTGTGTGTTGCAGAAAAGGATTGTGGGGACAGCTCTGATGAGTTCAATTGTCCGAACCCGACCGGTTAGTGCATAGATCAACATGCACCATAAATTTACTTGTGTTATAACATTATAATAAGGCCTGAACAGGATTTTCATACTCATGTAAGCCTGTGGAAAGGTATAAATTATCTGCAGCAATTCATTATTTCTAAAACATGTCTTACATTATGGAAAGATCCTGCCCCATAATGGTTAAACTAACACCTTTAGTAACATTCATAAGAAGAGATTAGCATTAAATATTAACCAGTGCTCATTCCCAGTGGTGCATGTGTGATCTATGCAGTTTCTGTGATGTTTATTATTCATTTTCTATTGTTGCAAATTGTTAACGATGAAGTGTGTTTCTAAAGAGAAGTTGCCACATTTACTATGTTGTATTACTATATTGTGAAATATTCATATTTCAGCCTATATTTGACTTGTTTGTATATTTGTATTATAAATCTATTGTATTAAATCATAGCCTATAGCTCACATGGACATGTTCCACGTTGGCCAAGTTTATCTCCTATAACTTCGTTTTTAGAGTTAGTTAAAAGTTTGGACACACCTTTTCTTTATCTTTGCTATTGTACTGTAATAATGTATATTAAATATAATTGAAACTGTGAAACAACAGACATTTCAGTATGGGAATTATGCAGTGACCAAAAAAAAAAACAAATATTATATTGTCTAGATTCCATCTCTAAAAAAAAATCTGTTCATTCTCTTAACTTTGTGAGGTGCATTCTGGGATGCTTTTAAACAATATTGGAGATACCATATGTCTGCAAAACTAATTTCAAGGAAATGCCTTTATATCAACAAGTTTATTATGATCATGAGAAACATAACCTTAGTCAAGTGTGTTCAAACCTTTGACTGACGGTGCACTTTAAAACACGGCTTATTTTATACATTATATTTTGGAGGATGATAGCATATATTTGCCAATTTAACCTCTTGCAGACAATGACTGTGGTGATAACAGTGATGAAGCCGGCTGCAGTCATTCATGCTCCAACGCTCAGTTTAAATGTAACAGTGGTCGCTGTATACCCGACTACTGGACCTGCGACGGAGACAACGACTGTGGTGACTACAGCGACGAGACCCACGCCAACTGCACTAACCAGGGTGAGTTCATGACACTAATGCTTTGTTCCACACCATGCCTAACTAGATGGCAAACTTGTGCTGCCTTCTAAGAAACCTTGGATGTCTTAGCAGCACCTGCTTTTGGTTCAATTGCCAGGAAGTGAAAGCTACACCAAACACCTAACACGCTGTTTAGAAAAGGTCATCTCCCATAAAGTAACTCCAGGCACAAAAGAAATATACAGAGAGAGACCAATGATGACTGTGAAAGAGCAGCAGATTTCATTCACTGAAGGGTGCATTAGTTAAAGGGGTCATATGATACGATTTCAAGTTTTCCTTTCTCTTTGGAGTGTTACAAGCTGATTGTGCATAGATAAGATCCCTGAAGTTACAAAGACTATTTAATATTAATATTTAATACATATGGGTCACATTGTCTACAGTACTATGTGTTTCAGTTCTGTTACACCAATAAAATTTTTATTTAAACAGTTTTAGGAATCTTAATGGAATAAGAATCTAGTATTTGAATGAAAAGGTAGTTAGGTAACTGTAACTTTTACTGTGAAATATTATTATTTTTAAGTAAAAAGTATGATTCACTTTATAATGTATGAAGAAAAGATTCCCAGAGTTCATTGTTCACAAGGTCTTCTTTAAGCGTCTTCTTTGTAGTTACTTTTGTCAGTTAACAATCATATTTTGTGTGTGTTTGTGGTCTAGCGCGGTGTATCAGTAAGGCTTGGGTATGTGATGGTGACAGTGATTGTGAAGATAACTCTGATGAAGATAACTGTTTGAGAGAGGCGGGGCATAGAGGACCTACAATAATGAAAAATAATGTGTTTTTTTAACATTAAAGCATGTCAACATATTCTGTTACACCAAATACACAAAATAATGATCTTTAAAAAAGCATCATATGACCCCTTTAAAGCATTAGTTAACCAAAGCTCACCATAACTAACCTGAGCGCTGGTTAACACTGGCCTTTATATGAGCATGGATTTAAAGAAGTCATTACTTAAAAAGTACCACATGAAGGCACATCTTGAGTTTGACCTGAAGCATAATTGTGACTCAGTTGTCTAAAAAGGCATTTATGGGGAATTATTATTATTATTAGTAGTAGTAGTAGTAGTAGTTATTTTTATTTATTTATTTATTTGTCAAATAAAACAAAACAACAAAACATGGTTACTATAGTTAAAACATGGTGACCACAAATTAACCATGATTTTGCTCCATTAACCATAGCTTACCCATGTATTTGTAGTAAAACTGTAGTTATATAAATGGTAATCAATATGCCAAAAAAACATGGTTACAACACTTTTACTATAATAAAAACCATGTTATTTTTCATAAGGGAAGAATATATGCTGAAAGTACAGCTTTATAGTGTAATAACCTTATTCATTCTTCTTTCATTTGACAGTCATCCAAATACAGAACATCTAAAATGTGCAGTGTCATGGGTGCTCTAGGGCAAGATTTGTCTGACTTTGTTATTGTGCTGCTCTTTGTAAGTCATGGTGTGAAGTTTCTGCAATTACAAATCACATGTTAATTAAAGAGGAATCCTTGCGTTCACACCAAAGCTATTTTTACCCAAGTTTAGACTTCTCTCTCTCATGGGGATAAACGTCTTTTCCAGTGGCTCTGTTAGCACTAGAGTTAGATATGAGGCACATTACAGGGTCACAATGAATTTAAAAACGGATTAATACAAACAAATCCCACCTCACACAACCACCACAATAACAGTTTTATTTGCCTTCAGAGAATCCACAGTGTTTACCTTTGTTAACTTGGCAGATACTTTTATCCAAAATGACTTACAAATGAAGAATATCACAATGTAAGTGATGCATCCTAAGGAGACAGAAAGTTGTGCAATATATATAAGTAATATAAAAGTAATAGCTAAAACAGGGATGCGGATGTAACACAGTTAAACAACAGTGAAATAATAGGAAATTTTAATAATAAGGTTCCAGACTTTGTTAAGCTCAAATCTGTTTTATACCGTGATTATGAAATATTACCCCAAAGTTCCTAGCTCACTTCTTGTTGATGCAGTCGTTATGTTGTCTTCACAAAGTTGGAGATGGAAATGCCATTCAAACTAGAGCTGTTTGCTATTGGTGTAGCATTGCTAGAAAAAATCGGTTTGCCTGAATTGGTCCTTGTGATGTGGTGTGTATTGTAAAGAGGAGAGGGCCAAGCACCGAACCCTGAGGTACACCCATGGTTTTTATATGATTTAAACACTCCTCCTCTCCAGTATAAGCTACCCTATCTAGGATATTTTACAGAGTGTATACTGTTACCAAGTAGCTTGTATGAAAATTATGATCCTATGGATTTTAGTTGTTTGGATATTGCCATACAATCTCTGTTTAAATATTATTTTTCCTCTCCAAAGCAACCCGTCCTCCTGGCGGCTGTCACACAGATGAGTTCCAGTGTCGTGTGGATGGTTTGTGTATTCCCCTCCGCTGGCGGTGTGATGGAGACACTGACTGCATGGATCTGAGCGATGAGAAGAACTGCGAGGGTGTAACACACATGTGTGATCCAGCAGTAAAGTTTGGCTGCAGGGACTCTGGTAATGATGCAGAAAATATACATTATATGTTCTCAGTTTAATGGTCTTATTTTGAGATTCAGTGATCCATGAGTAGACTGAGTTACGAGTGAATGGGTCATAATCATCACAATCTTGGTAATGTTTTCAGAATAAAATGCAAAGTGACTCAAAAACAAGTCAGGGGAGGCAATAATAAAACATTCTCGTAAAATGTCCTCTCTCTCTTTAGAGTATTCTTGGGTATTCAGGTTATAATAGCAAATTGATTCATGCAGATGTTGTTTTAATGAAAACAATTGACCAAATCAATTGAGTCATCACTCACAATTGTTTCCAGAGGTTCATTTGTAGCAAAACATATAGTAAAATATTTGGTCCCACTTTATATTACAGAAATTAATTATAAATGTAATTACATGCAGCAATTTTTTTTTTAATATAAGTACATTGTTAAACCATGTATATATTCAAAAAGTGCATTGTATACAATGATGTATTTATGTTAAGATATTTAATATATTTAATATTATATATATATATATGTATATACGTCTTCTTTGTAGTTACTTTTGTCAGTTAACAATCATATTTTGTGTGTGTTTGTGGTCTAGCGCGGTGTATCAGTAAGGCTTGGGTATGTGATGGTGACAGTGATTGTGAAGATAACTCTGATGAAGATAACTGTGAGGCGCTGGTGTGTAAACTCTCCCATCACGTGTGTGCCAATGACACCAGCATTTGTCTACCCGCCGAGAAACTGTGTGATGGCAAAGACGACTGTCCTGACGGCTCCGATGAGAAACTCTGTGGTAAGATTCATCACTGTTACATGAGGCTCGATGAAGCCTGAGATGATGGTCATTGAGTGCAGACTGAAACTCACACTAGCAGGACGTGGATGGAAATACTCACACTGATACCATTATACCAGGTGAAGTACATAATTAGTGGTGCCTGATACTGGTATTGGTGTTTTAAAAAGCTGCATTGTCGGCTACACAAACGTCAAGTTCTAATTTATGGAAATTTAAAAAATAATATTTGCTGAAAATGTACTTACCCTCAGGCCATCCAAAATGTAAATGAGTTTGTTTCTTCAGATTTGGAGAAATGTAGCATTGCATCACTTGCTCAGCAATGGATGCTCTGCAGTGAATGGGTGCCGTCAGAATGAGAGTCCAAACAGCTGATAAAAACATCACAATAATCCACAAGTAATCCACACCACTCCAGTCCATCAATGAACGTCTAGGGAAGTGATGTAATTGTAAATTTCTCCAAATCTGTTTCCATGAACAAACAAACTCATCTACATCTTGAATGGCCTGCGGTTGAGTATCTTCATTTTTATTTATTCGAATTTGCGAATATACCCTAGCGACTTAAGACTGGTTTTGTGCTCCAGGGTCACATATTGTGTTATCGTGTCAACCTTCCTTTGTTTTTACTGTCTAACTGCAATGTTTCTTTTGGTTTAGATCTGTGTTCTCTGGACAACGGTGGCTGCAGCCATAACTGTACAGTGGCCCCGGGAGAGGGCATTCTGTGCTCGTGCCCACTGGGAATGGAACTGGGCACTGACAACAAGACGTGTCAGATCCAGGGCTTCTGTGCCAAACACCTGAAGTGCAGCCAGCGCTGTGAACAGGACAAGTTCAATGTGAAGTGTTCCTGCTATGATGGCTGGGCCCTCGAACCTGACATGGAGAGCTGCAGGAGCACAGGTGAGATCAGCTCTTCCAAAGCCTACTGAGCTACATACGCTCATTAAAATATTCAGGCATAAATTTAATTCATATAATACATTTAAATGATCTTCTTTCTTTCTTTTTTTATTGCATATAACATTTTTATAATATAAACTAATAAACTTAATGTGATGCATATTTGTCAGTATTACATTAATGAAACAGGTAAGAAACAGGTAAGGTATTATGATTTAAATTAAATCAAATGCATGTATTGTATTATCCCAGTTTCATTCATATATGACTGACAGCCATCACAGTATGTTTATTAGTTTATGTTAAAACTGTAATCCAAACAGGTGGAAATTTTATATAGTTTAGTTTAGTCCTTTAGACACGTTTTTTTTTTTTCTGCCATAAACACCAATGCTGGAAAAATAAATAAATACATAACAATAACAACAACAACAATAATAATAGTAATAATAATGTGGATTTAAAAAAAAAAATTGTCTCTGAATGAAAAGTGTTTGACAGTATATCCCAAAATATTTCCACAAACAGACAGAAGGAATCGGTAAAGTCTAAAAATACTAGAGTAGGTATGAAAACGGTTGAGGTTCACAATGTTTGGCAGAAGATGAACAATTATGTGCACTGGAGGAAAAATCATTGCAGCTGGGATTGATTTTGTTTTCATTCAAAGACTGAAAAGTGAGGTTTTAGATTAAGAGTTGGTGTGTGACAGAATGAATGCGGAAAATGACGGGGAACTGTTTAGCAGCATAACTGGAGGTTTATTTTTGAAATGAAAGAATGTAAATGCCAGAAGAACGAGGTGGGGTTGAAGATTTACTGTGACAGGAAGTGGCACAGCAGTCCACTCAGCCAATCAAATGATGAATTATGGATTGCTGGACGTATTTCACATGCCTTTCAGAAATAAAAATCTTTTCGATAAACAGAGGAAATGTATGTGATTGCCAGTCTCGCATCATTTTACAGACATTTTACATTTTACAGACCAGTTGATGTAGGAAAATGTCAGAGCGTTTGCTCAGTTGAGTACCTCACTCTAGCGAGTCATGAGTTATCATGTTCTTTCAGTGAGTTCATTGTTTTTCCAGATCCGTTTAAACCCTTCATCATCTTCTCCAATCGTCATGAGATCCGACGGATTGATCTTCACAAAGGAGAGTTCAGCGTGTTGGTGCCAGGCTTGAGGAACACCATCGCTCTCGACTTCCACCTCAACGAGAGCTCGCTCTACTGGACTGATGTTGTTGAGGACAAAATTTACCGTGGGAAGCTGTCAGAAAATGGTGGTAAGTTATCGAACATATTATATACTGATATCATATTATGTTCTTGAAAAAAAATGATACAATAAATGACCATAATACCTTTTCAATTTACCAATAGTTAGGTAAAAAAAAAAATATATATATAAATGTTCCCATACATGTGTTTCTCTCTCTTTCCCTCATTTTTATTTCACACAGCAGCGCTGACAAGTTTTGACGTGGTGATCCAGTATGGATTAGCTACTCCTGAAGGTCTGGCTGTAGACTGGATCGCCGGAAACATCTACTGGGTTGAGAGTAACCTAGATCAGATCGAAGTGGCCAAACTGGACGGGACGATGCGCACCACTCTACTAGCTGGAGATGTGGAGCATCCACGGGCCATCGCCCTGGACCCCAGAGAGGGGTAAGCAGTCCATCATTACTAGTTTAAAACTTGTGTTGAGCCCCTTTAGTGTAGCGTGCTTTGTAAACGGTGTTATTTTAGTTGGACGGTTCGTAGATACAGGAAGATGGAGGCTCAACATAAAACTAAACTTTAATTACAAACTCAAAATAAACAAACAAAACAGGTAGACCTGGTCCTCACTTTCCTTCCGGGGCTCCTCTCTGAAACTCATGAGCACTCGTGGCTAGGGATGTAACCAGTGGTGTATAGAGTACCTAAAGTGATACTCAAGTAAAAGTACAGATATCTTACCAGAAAATGACTTTGGTAGAAGTTGAAGTCACCTTTTAGAATATTACTTGAGTTAAAGTCTTAAAGTATGTGATATTTATTGTACTTAAGTACGAAAAGTATTTTTTTAAATCTAAAACGTACTTAAGTATTGAAAGTAAAAGTACAAGTAAATGCAAAATGGAAAAGAAGCAAATAAATATATATAAAAAGTGTTCATACACAGCTTGAGTAGCAAGATCGTGTTCAGTTTGAACTCTTTCTTCCATTTTGTATTTTTGGGTAAGATTAAGAAGCACTTCATCCGGTACTTAGGGTCTTTCATTCCAACATAAGAAAACATTTCTGGAATCTGCATCTGAAATGGCATTTAGCCTACAGTTTAATGTATCTCAGAGGGGACATGGATGCATTTAACCTGCAGTTACAGATGCATAAATAGGCCTAATGTTTTGTTTTTAACATAAAACGTTGAATACTGATATTTGAAATAATTTAAAACATGAAAAAAATAGTCGAAATGTGAAATTACAACTGCCAGAAGGTGTCAGCAAGTGACTGTTAATGAGTGAGTCATTGAGATTGAACGACTGATTCATTCAGAAACAAAGCATTTGACTGTGTTAATGAGGGAATCACTGAATCATTTTTATCAACCGATTCGTTCAAAAAACTGATTCATTCAACAAGTAAACGCCATTGCTCAGAGACGCAAAACAGTGCTGCTATCTTTGTTTGGAACTATTTTCATTGGCAAATTTGAGCAAAAACAAGCAATATTATGTCTAAAATGTTAAATGTTGGCTGAAATATAAAAACTCAAGTAAAGTACAGATACTCTAAAAAAAACCTAAGTACAGTAATGAAGTATTATAACTTCGTTACATTACACCACTGGATGTAGCGTTAATGATTAACCACGAGCCGGTTGAAAATCGATTAAAATATGTGACGATTCAAATCGGTTGAGATGCTAAACAAATCGCGATTCAATTAGGGGTAGGAATTTTTATGAATGTATGTCTGAGGGCAACTTACTGTCTTTAGAAAAATTTAGATGGTATTTTTTCTTTCGGTACTCTTTGTGTGATATAGATTAAGTTAACTATATTAAATTATATAAATATAAAAAGCATACAGAAGCATTTTTGCCGTCTACAATTTAGAATGCCTGAAATGTTTAGTTTTAATAGACTAATAAATCAACGTGTGTGCACTCTGTGTGTGATTTGGTGATATAGCCTACTTGATAATGTCAGATCGCAGATCATTACAACAACACTTACCATATTATCGCAGAAGATGTACTGTATATCACACACCCCAGACTCGACTTGAGTGGAAAATGAATCATCCGCGGTTGTGCGCGCACTTGTTTGCACATGAGCATGAGTCTAACTTGCAGACGGCAGACCACTGATTCGTCAAACCTGCTTTCCTGCAGTCCG